CATCCAATCCACAGAGAGTGCTGGGACCCCCTTCTCTCTTTCTCCTCTAATAATAATAAGACATTATTACCTCCTCCTCACTGGGCACACACTCTGTCCAGACTCACACCCCCAGCAGGAGAATTCCAGCAATACCAGAGCTCCTCCCCTCTGTCTCAGGTCTACAACAAAATGGCTGCTTAGCAGACATGGAGCACATCACATTTTGCGTCTTTTTAGCTTAAACTTGTGAGAAATTACTCTACATCATATCTACCAAACAATGATTCTGTGTTTTCTATAATGTGTTTTGAATTGAGTAAAACTAGTGTACTGTGCTCTACAACAAAATGGCCGCCTCTCTCTTGCACTGAGGACACTTCCACTGCTCACATAGGACACGGTCGCCCTCTAGTGGTGGCTCCACACTGGAATAAACGCTATGGTGTCTGGCCTCTGGAAGATTGTTCAGTCCCTGTGCTGATCGTCACTATGGCAACCAGGAAGCCGCTAGGCGGCTATGGAACGCACACAGCGGAAGTGGGGGAGCCACAGGGCGGAAGTGAGTTTACAGTTACATTTCAAGGGTTTTGTAACCAGCTTGAGCTGCAGCAATATTAATAATTATTAGTCTAGAAAAACTAGAATGATTCTATTGCTTTATAGGGCAGCCAATAAGATTGTAGCTGACATTGTTCTGATGCTAAGTTGTGAGATGAGAAATATGATTGTTTGCTATGGATGACACACCAAACTCCTCCCCTCTGCCCAGGCTGCCCCTATAATAGTGTCGGGGTCACTCCCAGTCGTGGGGCTCAGTTCCGTGGTTCAGGGTGGACACCAGTCTTTGCTCATTTATCCTTCTGTCCAATGGTTCATTAATACCCAACAGGCGTTCCTCAACCCTGTGACACGCCTCGTGTCCCTCTTTGGTCATGCCATGTCCAGTGTTATCTTGTCACAGAGTAATGGCGTGTGCTGACGGGCTCTTGTTTGAATTAGATGGGTCTGGCATTCCCATACAAGTCCATGGTCATAAGGAGGTCCACTCCAGGTCAAAAGCGGGTTAACTACAAGCCAGAAAAGGTCAAGTACAGGTCAGAAGGTCAACTGCAGGTCAGAAGGAGGTCAACTGAAGATCAGGAGGAGTTAACTACAGGCCAGAAAAAGGTCAACTGCTGGTCAGAAGGAGGTCAACTGAAGATCAGGAGGAGTTAACTACAGGCCAGAAGGAGGTCAACTGCTGGTCAGAAGGAGGTAAACTGAAGAACAGAAGATTAACTGCAGTTCAGAAGGAGGTCAACTACAGGTCAGAAGGAGGTCAACTGAAGATCAGGAGATCGACTGCAGTTCAGAAGGAGGTTAACTACAGGCCAGAAAAAGGTCAACTGCTGGTCAGAAGGAGGTCAACTGGAGATCAGGAGATCGACTGGAGTTTAAAAGGAGGTAAACTGAAGAACAGAAGATTAACTGCAGTTCAGAAGGAGGTCAACTACAGGTCAGAAGGAGGTCAACTGAAGATCAGGAGATCGACTGCAGTTCAGAAGGAGGTTAACTACAGGCCAGAAAAAGGTCAACTGCTGGTCAGAAGGAGGTCATCTGCAGGCAAGAAGGAGTTAAACTATGGATCAGGAGATCAACTGGAGTTCAGAAGGAAGTTAACTACAGGTCAGAAAAAGGTCAACTGCTGGTCAGAAGGTCAACTGCAGTTCAGAAGGAGGTCAACTGAAGATTGACTGCAGTTCAGAAGGAGGTTAACTACACGCCAGAAAAAGGTCAACTGCTGGTCAGAAGGAGGTCAACTGGAGATCAGGAGATCGACTGGAGTTTAGAAGGAGGTAAACTGAAGATCAGAAGATTAACTGCAGTTCAGAAGGAGGTCAACAGCTGGTCAGAAGGAGGTCAAATGTACCTGTCAATGAATTTTGAATGATCTCAGAAGCTGTCAAGACAGGACCTGGATACCCCTCCTCTTCTCCCAATGTCTATTCACATAGCAGCACAGGTCCGTGTAGGAAGAGGAGAAGCGGAGCACAAGCAGGAACGGCTGGAGGGAGCACTCAGGTTATTGACTGATAAATGCAGGGAAAAGGTTCATGCAGATCGATTGGCTGTTGAGTCCGACTTTTTCATTGTTCGGTCTTTGTCAGGCTGTTTGTAAAGGAACGTGGACAGGTTTATTGTATGTAAAGCAAGAACAACAATTGGAAGAGACATTTTTGTGCTACACAATAAGCCATTTTTTATTTCTTTCAAAGCCTCAGCCCGCATGGTTATAAATACTGTATATATATATATATATATATATATATATATATATATATATATATAAGGTGACCTTTTTAAAAAAAAGATACTTCCAGTTTAGAGAGAAGGATCTCCGTATAAAGTTTTTATACATATTTTTTAGTCCACTGTATATGTTTCAGGCCATTTTCTGTATTAGAGTTCATGTAGACTGCTGCTGTTAGCCTTCAAAAAAAGTCTGCAGGTTCCTTTTCACGTCAACGGCGTCGCACAAAATGACTGATCTGAGGCTGGGTTTGGTTTGACCTGCTTTGTGTTTCCGGTCCCGCTGAGGTGAATTTGCAAGGGCACAAGGGTTTGGGTAGCCCCCCCTCTGCCTGAGCCCATAAACTAATCGAGAATTATGGGACTCCAACGCTGAGGATATCTCATGGTTACCTCATCTCAACAAAGAACACATGCGCTGAATTTAACAAAAAAAAAGAAAAATTCCATGGCACTTCAGTATCCAGATGATCCAAAGGAGAGCAAAAACCTTAGGAACGGCTTGTCGCAGTAAAACACAATAATATGATGGTAACTTAATGCACACACACAGGATCTGTCTATGCAGGTGCCATAAAGCTGCAGGTTTGGTTTTCTATGCATTGGGGTATATTGACATCCCATTCACAATCAATGGACTGCTTTAGCGTAACGTGCGCATTAGGGGACACGAGACTGTGAAGAAGGTTTTATAAAGTGTTGTCCATTTGCTCTGACAAAATTGCTTCCTCAAAGCCAATTCGGTACTCAGTGGATCAAAATGTGGAAGGTGGATGTCTCTTGTGGGTTGTGTTTGCAATATCTGTAGTAGCCCTCAGGGGTTTGCCTCAAAAAATAACCATAAGCAATGATTCAAATATTGATTTTTTTCCCCCTCTATGCATCAACTTCCACATCTGGTTGAGGAGCCTCCAGTCCCACATGGGAAACGAAGATGTGCCATGAAGGAGATCTGGCTGAGTATTCTTTCCAACATAGACAGGACATTTCCGCTTAGAACTGACTTCCAGGCAACAGACTAATACAACCTCTGCGGGGCCTCCAATGTTGCCTACTAGAACAACATCTAGCATACGTAGAATATGCAAATGGTTTCTCCTATGTGGGAATTTTTTTTGTGGTTAATAAGGACAGATTCCAGGAAATCCACTGAATTCTTTCATGTCTGGTGAGAGAGCATTTGGAGGCAAAGCATGTCCACATCCTGAACATCAATATGGTTTCATAACCTCCCAGGTCCGAGATTTTCCCATGAGGGAAAAGTCTTGATGATGACTTATGTGGTGGCAACAGGATTGGTGTAACCCTCAACCACCAATGCTAAAAGTCCTCTAACCCATCGCAACCTGAGAGGCGTCTTATCCAAGGGCTGAAGATAAGACTCTGGAATGGCTGTTGGGTGACTAAGTGGACATCTAGGAGAGAAGTCCCTTTCACGCACGGTTCTTAGAGCTTCCTTAACATCAATATTGTTTCACCGTTGCCAATAGGGACAGAATTCAGAATATGAATATGGCTTCTCCCCTTCGTTACCACGCTGGTGTGATGTGAGATCTGCCCTCTGGGTAAAAGAAGCACCAGAACATGTGAATGGTTTACCACTATGAGCTGTGGGACAAGTAATGGGGGGTGAGTGATGGCAAGTATACTACTTCTCCAAGTGATTTTGGGAAGAATTAATGTCTGCGTAAAACCTCTTCTTCCGAGAACACAGGAGTATTTTTCCCCACCGCCTGAGTGTGGTGGTGTGAAACCAGAGAAAGATCTTCCTCATTCTGACCGCAATCAACAGCTCTGCATGATTGTTTTCATCTATGATGAGATACAACTCCATGGAAGAGGGCTCACCAAATTATGAACTGGAATATGGCTCCTCTCTGTCTTCATGGGTGTTGAGTACCAATTACTTGGCAGTTCCCCGGTTAAGAACATGATTGTGGCTTCTGGCCTGTGTGAGCTGTCAGGTGTAAAAGTAGTTGATCTATCTCGGAAAAACATCTCCCGCATTCCGAACATGAATAGCGCTTCTCCACCATGTGAATGGCCTGGTGAATGGTAAGTTGGTCCCTGGAAGGAAATTTTTTTTCGCATTCTGAACACGCATATGGCTTCACCCTGGCATGAACTTTTTCATGCGCCACCAGGTTTGACCTCAGGGTAAACCTCTTCCCACACTCCGCGCAGGAATGCGGCTTTTCCCCAGTGTGAATCCTTACGTGCCCTATCAGTAGAGATTTCTGGGCAAACCCTCTCCCGCATTCCAGACACGAATATGGCTTCTCTCCCGTGTGACTCCTCTCGTGTAAAGTCAGATGGTATTTTTTGGAAAAACACCTTCCGCATTCGGAACATGAAAAGGGCTTCTCCCCCGTGTGAACTTTTCTATGTGCATAAAAAGTTGATTTCTGGCTAAAGCTTTTGCCGCACTCCGAACAAGAATACGGCTTCATCCCTGTGTGAATTCGCTCGTGTTCTGTGAGACTTCCTCGCCGGGTAAAACATCTCCCACATTCAGAACATGAAAAGGACTTCATAGCTGTGTGAGTTCTTTGGTGTCCAATGAGTTCCTGTTTCCGAGGAAACCGCTTCCCACATTCTGAACATGAGTATGGCTTGTCCCCATCGTGAACTCGCTGGTGGGAAGTGAGGTCTACCCTCTGGGTCAACGAAGCACCAGAACATGGGAATGATTCACCAATATGAGCTGTAGGACAAGTAATAGGAGGAGAGTGAACAGGGAAATTCCCGCCATGTGTAGAGGGTTCTGATGACAGACTGTAAACCGTTGGATGGAGAGTTATGGTAATGGGGTTCACTCCTAAAGAACTGGATGCGGCCTCTTTATCTTCCGTTCCACAATCTGGAGGAAACCAAACATAATAAGAATCTTAAAAGCTGAACTCCAATATGGAGGCTACCATGACAGGTTCTCATTTCAGAATAGGTTCCCTTCATGGATAGGACTTTACATAAAACCTGTCAAGGCATATTCAAGCTGAAACAATGAGTTGGCACCTCATGACGTCTTCATATATACCTTACCAATCTCAAGTTTGGATGTCAGAGCTTCGACATGCCCACTGAGCAATACTGGCTCTTCACACTGAAAGTAATGGGGGTGTCCTAATTTGGGGCTTCCAGAGGCAAAGAAGAACATATCAATGGCGTGAACGTGGTTTTCATTCACTATGTCATCCTGAATAATGTATACTAGGGATGCACCGATACCGATAATAGTATCGGTGCTGATACCAAGTATTTGGGCGAGTACTTGCCCAAATGCTCCGATGCCTAGCCCGATACCCGAACTTCCAGTATCAGGTAGCCGGGCAGCGAGTCATTACATGCTGCCTGACTCCCTCGTCACTTGGTGACGAGAGAGCATGGAGTCAGCTTCCCGGCCAATCAGGAAGCTGTGCAGCGTATAATGACTCACCGCCTAGCTTCCTGATTGGTTGGGAAGCTGGCCAATCAGGAAGCTGGACGGTGTGTCATTACCTGTACCCCAGATTCCTGATTGGCAAGAAAGCTGGCTCCATGCTCCGTCGTCACCTGGTGATGAGGGAGTATGGAGCCGGCTTCACAGCCAATCAGGAAGCCGGGCGCCATGTAATGTTTCGCTGCTCGGCTTCCTGATTGGCCGGCTTCTCGATCAATCAGGAAGCCAGGTGGCGAGTCAATACCCACCCTCTGGCTTCTGGATTTGCCAGAAAGCCAGATCCATGCTTCCTCGTCAAAAATATCGGTACTCAATATGGAAAAATCGGTATTGGTGCATCCCTAATGTATACAACCAACAGTCTTGCTTAAAACCTAGCAGAACACCAGAAAGAAAACAAGAGGATAGATAGGACACTGAACCTCCACCAAAAACTACCTTTGGTCACCTTCCAGTTGGCTTTGGCAAACATGGGTGTTCACAAAATCTAAACTGAAACCACCAACTTTCTAACAAATTGACTTGATCTCATGACCCGGCTGGGAGGCGTCTCCTGCGAACACAAGCTGTCCTTTGCCAACACCAGCAGTTCAGAAATGTCTGTTGATGGAGGATTGAGAGTGTTCCCGTCCCCATGTGATAAGGACCACAAGAAATGATGGAAGGACAGTCACCTTGTCAAGAGAAAAAGCAGTGATGAGAATAAAAACCTAGTAGGACTCAAACCAATGACCCTTCAGGACAGAGTTTGCCTAACCACGTACCGCTGTCTTTCCATAAACATGCCATTCACCATCTTTCTTGTCAAATCCTGGCTATGTTTTACACTCTTAATTCTGCTGGACATCCAACCATATCTGGCTGAGAACTCATTACTTACCTGTGATGCTCTCCTTAAGGATTTCCTCCTCTTTAATTGTCACTTGTATTTCATCCTCCTCGGTTTTGATGTCTCTGGTGTCTGTGAATAAAGATGAGAGTGAAGCCCATGGTACAGAGTTGTATGAGAGACCCCAGAGAGTGTGTGTGGGGGGGAGACTGGTCACGTCTCTTGGCTGGTAACACACAATGACATGATGTGAGGAGGAGAGCCGGAGTCTAATAGAGGCTGATGGCTCCTGACTCCCCCCACTAGACACATTCCGTCCCCCCCATTACTGTCTACTGACAGAGGAGGGAGAGAAGAAGAGATTGTTGTAGTGACTGAACAAGGAGAATCTGGGACTCTTCTCTGGATTTAGTGTTTATTACTCACCTGTGCTGATCTCTGGAGGGATTTCATCCTCTTCACATGGATCACTATCTAACACATACGACTCTTCTTCCTCTCTACGTTCAACTCCACAATCAGACAGGTTTACATCCAGCGTCACCTATAGAACAATTATTCCTTTACAAGTTGTCCTGTTACCTCTAAAAGTATTTCATGGATGTGGTTTTCAGTTAAAGTGTGCTTTAAAATCCAGTGATACCCATCCTTGTGTCCTTCTAGATACTCCCACTCCTCCATGGAGAAATGGACAGAGACATCCTGACACCTTATAGGAACCTGACACACACAATGATACAGTCACCATCCAGACACATCCCTTGTCTGTTCCTGGATCATGTCCCAGAATCCCCGGCACCACTCACCTCTCCCGTCAGCAGCTCAATGATCTTCTGGGTGACTTCTAGAATCTTCTTGTTTTTTCTCAGAGAGTCAGATAGAGGTTTAATAAAGGAACTTGGTGTCTTCATCAAGTGGGAAGCAGCCAAGCCATCAGATAACTTGAAAGCGATATAATTCTATAAAACAAAATTCACGTTATGCCATCGTCTAAACAAGAATTGAAAGCCTCAAAACATTAAAAAATCATTTTAGAACAATATGGTTATCACTGCGTTTTATTAAAGGAGATAAAAATTATGTCATGTGACCTCCTAGAATCCTCTTCTGAGATAGAGATTAGGGTGATGTCATGGGACCTCCCAGAATCCTCTTCTGAGATAGAAATATAGGTGATGTCATGAGACCTCCCAGAATCCTCTTCTGAGATAGAGATAAGGGTGATGTCATGAGACCTCCCAGAATCTTCTTCTGAGATAGAGATAAGGGTGATGTCATGAGACCTCCCAGAATCCTCTTCTGAGATAGAGATAAGGGTGATGTCATGAGACCTACCAGAAGCCTCTTCTGAGATAGAGATATGGGTAATGTCATGTGTCCTCCCAGAATCCTCCTCACCTCTCCATTCAGCAGGAAGATGATCTCCAGGGTGAGGTCTAATACTTTCTCAGTCATGTGACTCTGATCCTTCTCCATCCTCAGGTGGTCTACTCAGAGGTATCCCTAGTAAACCTTTCCACTTTTATAAGGTCGTGTTTGTCATATCACACAAAAAAACCTGTAATGAGGGAAAATAAACATATGAAACAAGCATAGACATCCTAGTGAAAGACAGGGAGGCACAGGTATGGGTAAGAGGAAGTGCACAGTATAGTAGGTGTTTTAGATAGCACATACTTATATCCACACAGTAACCTGATCCACCAGGTTACATGACCATGCCGAAAAACCTTTCAGAACCCCTTAGGCCTGAGACTTTCCCATGAGGAGCACTATGGCGAATTACTTGGTGGCAAGTAACCCTCAACCACCAATGCTTAATGCCCTCAAACTCATTGCAGCCTGAGACCTCTCATTCCGGGGCTGAAGATAGGACTCTAATGAATGGCTTTTGGGTCAATAAGTGGACACGTAGCAGAGAAGACCCATCCATGTACGACTATTATAGAGATTTTTCTGCTCGGGTAACAAAGGGCTGATAGGACTCGGAGGTACACAGCGTCAGGACAGAAAATGTCATGCAGTAAGAACAAGAGGCCGCTGTTGTGAAGGGCCCATTGCTCATAGCAACCATCCATGATTGCCCTTACCGCTTGTGACATTGGCCATGGAGCACAGAAGCGAGCGTAACCCTCCCTTCCGACACTTTCTCCAGCAACTTCCACTATGAGCTCCTGGTGCGTTCTATAGGCACATGGTAAATACCAGCTTCTGACTTGTATCTTTCACGTGAACATAGGGTTGCCACCTGTCCTGGATTTGCCTGGACAGTCCAGGTTTTGAGTCCTGTGTCTGCTGTGTCTGGGTTTCAGCTGGCCTGAAACCTGGAAACAGCAGATACAGGACTCAAAACCCAGACTGTCCAGGCGAATCCGGGATAGGTGTCAACCCTACATAAACAGATCCACTGGTGGTAAATACAATGTGGACATCTAGGACTGCAAGATGGATTCCGAATCGTCCTAGTTGTATCGTCACATTTCAGTTTATTGGACGTTCCTCGTTCCACAATGGTTTGCGATTGGTCCTTACCGCCCACCATAGGAAATGGCTGGGGAAGTTGAACTCTGGGATTTTTGTAAACAGCGGGGGTTCACCACACTGCAAGGGTTAAATGTTTGTTACCTCCTAGTGGTAGAGAAATAAGGTGGAATACTCAAGTGATTCCTCGCTCCGGCAGGCTTCGGGTGCTCACCTCTTCGCTATGACACTCCAGGTTGTGGATGGGCCCTTGCCATCCTCATTGATCCTGCATTGTAGGTGATGACCACCGGCCAGAGAGCCTTAGAGAAGAATCTTTGTGGGGCCCGGTGGTTGCCCAGATGGAAGGAGCCTGTCGGAGCGAGAAGTTCTTCTTTACAAAATCTCAGAGCTCAGCTTGAATGCAACCAGACGGGACCTTCGACCATAGAGCTTAGAAAAGACCATCTGCCTGACACAACATAATGAATAAACTCTGCTCATCAGTAATTCTACAGGACATCTGAGAATACGTCCCCAGCGGCATTGAATCCAGTCCCTATGAAGCTCGCCATCTAATGTTCTACACATCAGAAGAAGGTGGTGATTTGTTAGGGTGACATGACCCAACCCATCCAGTCCACACAGAGTGCTGGGACCCCCTTATCCCATAATAATAAAATATTATTACCTCCTCCACACTGGACACACACAATCCAGCCTCAAACCCATTCCAGGAAGTTTCTTCAACCAGATAAAAACTCCTCCTTCCTCCTGTGGGCTACAACAAAATGGTTGCCTCTGGCTGGAGTACAATTACAAAACAGAAAAAAAACCTCTGAAATATAACAAGTCTTCCCATTTGCAGAAAATGATTCTGAGACCGTAAAACGTGTTTTTGTCAAAAAGAAAAGAGTGAAGAAACTAAATGTGTATACAACAAAATGGCCGCCGCACCTTCTTTGCTCAGGACACATCCTCCTCGCCCTCTAGTGGTGGCTATTGGCATCCAGTTCTCTAACGCTGTATTCCCTACCCAATTACTCGGCCGGGCGTCACTATGGCAACCGGGAAGCTTTTGACAGCGGAAGTGCAGGAACGGCAGTGCGGAAGTGGGAGGAGAATAGTGATGATAGAGAGGAGACAGGTAGCTGTTTATAGCTTCATGTACACAGCCTGAGATGGATTTTTATTATTCTTAAGAAATGGGAAGGCTGATTGCAGGGCTGCATAATCGATTAGTTGGCCGATTATTTTTCTATTAATCGGATAAAAACAAATTGCATCTTTTATTTAAAATGAAATACACAAATAGAGTTAGTTCAGAATGAAACTGAATGCACATTTTTTGCAAACACGCGGCACAGGAATGCAGGGCATTGCAGTACCGCGTGGGCGATCACACTGCGGGCTATTACACTGCGGACGGGAGATATTCGTGAATATCGGGCCGATAATTATTGCTCTCACTCTGGCGCAAAATCGTAAATTTTTCTACGTAGGTGAATCCGACTTGTGTTTCCGTTAGTATTCGTGGGGTCGGGGGGGACTTTCCTTTTTGTTTTTGTATTTTTTATTACATTTTTTTATAACCTTTTTTTTTTATACTTCCTGCCTATCAGGCTGGCTATTGCTCCCAGACACTGCCTGCTGTGTTTACATTTAGCTGTGGAAGTAAAGTGGAAGGGTGACCCCTAATGTCATCTTAAAGAGAACCTGTCGCCTGCAATGTGCTATCCATAGGGGGGCTTGTGAGCCACCATCATGGCTACCCAGATAAACGGCCCATGAAAAATTAGTAGGCCAACATTTTTTAGACCATTACTTTTATTTTTCAAAATACAGTAGAGGTTGGGTGAAAGCTCCGGGGCAGTACAACACTTTTGGTAGTTGGTACATTTTTGTTATAGAGGTCTATACATCACACCAAAAGCAAGGACGACTGAGGAATAAAGAGGGAGATTTGGTTCCAAAAGAAGGACAGTCCCTTCAAATGAGGGACGTTGTAGATGGCTCAGTGATTCAAAATGGGGAACTAGAGAGACACTGACCCCCAAATGAGGAAATGGCAGCACCATCCCCCCCTAGGAACGGGATTACCAACGTGGTGGGTCAATTGCAGAAGTGAATTTTTGAGGGTTGCTTACCATGGTGTGAAACCGGGCAGCGGTGTCTTCAACTGCAGAGAGGAAGCAGCAGAGGCTATGGTGACTCTTTAAGGTTTGGTGGCCAAAGGAGGACACTATGGCATGTCGAGGACCTCAAGACCTTGAAGCAGAGGCTGTGGCGACTCCAAGGTTTGGTGGCCATGGAAGAACATTGCCCATCCAGGGCCTCAAGATTTCCAAGAGCATGTGTGAAGGCCACTCTAACATTGAAGCAGAGGCTGTGGTGACTCGAAGGTTTGATGGCCAAAGAAGGACGCCATGCATGCTGAGGGCTGCAGGGGCATGCACATTATCACTCTAACCTTGAAGCAGAGGCTGCAGTAAATGACTAGAGTTGCCACCTTTTCTTCAAGTGAAACCAGAACACTCTAGCGACGTGCGGACATTTTTTGGGGGAGAATGAGTCGTGGCTTTTTCATATGTAAATATCACAGTTGAGACTATTTTCAGTGGGGGGCCAGTAGCCCCGTCTGTCTCACATCTTGTGTCCGGGTTTTAGCTGCCATGAAACCCGGACACAGCATTCAAAACCCGGACTGTCCAGGTGAATCCTGGACAGGTGGCATCCCTAAGTAAATCTCCAAGGCTTGGAAGCCAAGGTAGGACATTAAGCTTGCATTGGGCTGTGGCAGTGTATCTCCAAGACATGGTGATCTGGAACAATGCCCCAACATAAAATCTTTACTCTTGCATCAAACTAGCTGGGAGAGATACTCTTCCTCCTTAGTATACTAAGCTAAAGCAGGCTGAGTTGAATGGTAAACCCAACCCCAGTGGTCTACGGTGTTTCTCACCGAACGCTGAGAAGAAATAGATCTCGGCATGCTTGCTTCAGGTCATGGCTCATCTGCTAGGAACAAAAATATAAAGATGGCAGTTTGGAAGCATATACCTTAAAAAAGGCAGTGATGGCAATATTTCTGTACTAACAGGTTCTCTTTAATCAGGCCTAGTTGCAGCTTTGATATCTTCTGTTTTCCCTCAACCAAACCAGCTGCTGATAAGCCTGAAGTCCTTCCATCACAAGCCAAGCTGCAGGGATGGTAGTCCACGTACCTGATTTCTCTCATTAGGCCCTAATGAAGGGGGTGTGTTTTGGACCCCTGAAGCGGGTTGACTACTCTGCTTGAATGTCCCCCTGACACTAGCTGAATAAAGTTGTATCTGAATTATTTTAAACCCCAACTCCAGGAATAAAATCTAAAAACTATAATCCCTCCCTCCTACCACCACCCCTTAAAAAAACAAAAAACCTAAGTCCTGTTCTTCACTTTCCTTACCTCATGATAACATGATCATCCAGCGCTGGGTCCTCCTCCTCTCTGTGGGGTTCCTTCAGAGGTCTTGTTTCCATGCCACTGCCTGTGTCATGTGGACAATTCCCATGGGGTCCTCCAGAGCAGGGGCAAGCAACCTCAGTACCCCAGCTGTGGTGGTACTACAAGTCCCACGAGGCATTGCAAGACTCTGACAGCCATAGACGTAACTCCCAGAGGCAAAGGCATTATGGGATATGCAGTTTCACCACAACAGGCCTTGTTGAGGTTGCCTACCACTGCTCTAGAGGACCACGGTTAGAGGGGAGGCCGGCGAGGGTTACTGCATAGCACTGGTTTAGTGGTACCTACCAGCGGAAACCTGGATGGTGAAACTTTAACACCTGTCAGGATAGGTTACAGTGGGGTGGTAGGGAATAGGTCTTGAGTGGAGTTGGGTTTTAACTGGTGTGGCACTTCAATTCCCGGCTGTCATGCACAGAGAAAGTCCCGGCTGTCATGTACAGAGAAAGTCCCAGCTGTCATGTACAGAGAAAGTCCCGGCTGTCATGTACAGAGAAAGTCCCGCCTGTCAGGTACAGAGAAAGTCCCGGCTGTCATGTACAGAGAAAGTCCCGGCTATCATGTACAGAGAAAGTTCCGGCTGTCATGTAAAGAAAAGTCCCGGCTGTCATGTACAGAAAAAGTCCCGGCTGTCATGAACAGAGAAAGTCCCGGCTGTCATGTACAGAGAAAGTCCCGGCTGTCATGCACAGAGAAAGTCCCGGCTGTCATGCACAGAGAAAGTCCCAGCTGTCGTGTACAGAGAAAGTCCCGGCTGTCGTGTACAGAGAAAGTCCCGGCTGTCATGCACAGAGAAAGTCCCGGCTGTCACGTACAGAGAAAGTCCCGGCTGTCATGTACAGAGAAAGTCCCGGCTGTCATTTTGACAGCAGCCATTTGCCAGAAATACCTCCTGTAGAGCAGCATGGGGTGGGGGTGCAGCATACACCCAAGGTACTTTATTGAAGCTTTTTGGTGTGCCTTAGGTTAACCAACGGATATAGGAGAATAATTGAAGTCTTACATTGTTTTTCCCTTTGTAGTCCTTTCTTTATTCATGTCTCAGCACTCACCCCTGACACAGAAGCCTCTTCTTCTATAAAGGAAGATTAGTCTTGAGTCAAAGGAATAAGGCTTCGTCCCCTGTGGACTTGTACATGCCGGCTCAGAGCTGACTTCTGGGCAAAACATCTCCCGCATTCCAGACACGCATGAGGCTTCTCCCCTGTATGAGTCCTCTGATGAAAAACAAGATGCTGTCTGATGGAGAAACGTCTCCCGCACTCGGGACATTGAAAGGGCTTCTCCCCGGTGTGAATTCGTTCATGTCTGACGAGAGAGGACCTGGAGGTAAAGCATTTCCCGCATTGTGAGCACGAATTCGACTTCACACTTTTGTGAATTTTTTCATGGCTTGTAAGCATGTATTTCAAAGCAAAACATTTCCCGCACTCAGCACAGGAATATGGCCTCTCCCCTGTGTGATATTGTTCGTGGGTGATGAGACTTGATCTTTGTGCGAAACACTTGCCGCACTCCAGGCAGGAAAAAGTCTTCTGCTCTGCATGAGTCATCTCGTGTGAAATAAGTTGGTCTCTTGTAGAAAAGCAAGTGCCACGTTCTGAACATGAATATGGCTTCTCCCCCACATGGGTGGCCTGGTGTATGATAAGTTGGTCTCTCGCATGAAAACCGGTGCCACATTCCGAACATGAATACGGCTTCACTTTCTCATGAATTTTTTTATGCGAGACTAGATATGACTTCTGGGTAAACCTTTTTCCGCACTGCCCACATAAATGTGGCCTCTCCCCCGTGTGCATTCTTATGTGCCCGGTCAACAGAGATTTCTGGGCAAAACATTTCCCACACTCCGAACACAAATATGGCTTCTCTCCCGTGTGAGTCCTCTGATGCAAGACAAGATGGGACTTCTGGGAAAAACATCTTTCGCATTCGGAACACGGAAATGGCTTCTCCCCAGTGTGGACTTTTTGATGTCCGTAAAAAGATGACCTCTGGCTAAAACTTTTCCCGCACTGCGAACACGAATACGGCTTCAACCCCGTGTGAGTTCTCTGGTGGTCAATGAGACCGCCTCTCTTGGAAAAACTCCGCTTACATTCAGGGCATGTGAATGACCTCACGGCCGTGTGAGTTCTTTGGTGTCCGATGAGTTCCTGTTTCCGAGGAAAACATTTCCCGCATTCCCAACATGAGTACGGCTTCTCCCCTTTGTGATCTAGCGGGTGGGAAACGAAGTCTGACCTCTGGCCAAAAGAGTCACCAGAGCATGGGAAAGGTTCGTCAACTTTGTGAGCTGTGTGATGGGTACCGGAAGGTGAGTGATCGGGAAACCGCCCCCCATGTGTGGAGGGATCCAATGAGAGAGCTTCTCCACAAACTGGTGGAAGAAGATTTAGGGTAATGGGGTTTTGTCCTGAAGAACCAGAGGTGACGCCACCATCTTCCTCTCCACCATCTAGAGGAAATACAAATAACGGTAAGTAAGGATTTAGAAAGCCAAACTCCCTTCTCCGCCTGCAGTGATTGGTTCTGGTAGTGGGAGGGAAGCCAAAGCATCCCCAGGTAGGGAGGAGGTCAGGACTACTTCCCTAGTGCTGGGATCTAGAGCCTTCTGAACTGAATGGGTCTACCAAGTCTGGTCATGGGCTGGGAAGGCAGAGAGGCCATGTGTCACAGTTCAGCTGCAGACTTGCCGCCGAAACTACCACCACCACCACCCCATGGAGTTTGCCCGGGTACCGACCTTTGGCTTGTCCCTGAAAATCCTTATCCTCAGTCTGGCCTGAGCTTTGACCTGTCCCTGGTAATCCCAGTCTTCAGTCTGTCCCTATCCTCTGGATTGTCCCTGGAAGTCCTAGTCATCTGTCTGTCCCTGACCTTTGTTTTTTCCATTGTATGTATGTCTGCAACCTGTCCAGAACTCTGGCCGTGTCCACCATTCTTGGCTGTTAGGTGAGTTGGGTGAACCTAGGGATTGTGACCTGGTGTCAGCAGGCAGCTAAGCCCATCTCCACCATCAGGAGCTTTGGTAAACACCGGCTGGCCCTTAGATTCCACATCCTGAGGGACCCCATGGCACCTACCTAGCATTGCAGCATCCTGCCCAGTACCTTGACCTACCAGCCTATTCTGTCTTCCAACACCTCCTTCCGTTCCCTGCTCTGTTCCCCGGTAGTACAGCTCTGGGAGTTGTCAGCCTACAGGGCTTGCACCCTTTCCTCTAAGTGTCCCTGCCAGTGTAGTAGAAACGGTCCACATACCTGATTCCAGTTGATACCCGTGAGCCCCGTTCTGTGACACCATGGAGGCAAACATCCCTGGGGGTGCTGGAGTAGAACTATGGGTTTGGGACCCCACTGTGTGAAAGAGCGTTAGGGGGGGTCCCAAACCCATAGGGCCGATCACGTGGGAGCTGTACACACAGGAGACGTGGACAGATCTTGGAGAGCGGTGTCTGCCCAGCTGGCCGAGGGACTGGTACGGTAATGACTGCCTCTAAGGATCTATGTGAGGGGAATGATTTGTCTGCAGGGTGGGGGGTCGTGTCGCCATATTATCAGATCTGTTTGACCGGCTCGATGCTGATTGGCTTCCCGGCCAATCAGCATCGAGCCAGCTAAACAGCAGGGAGCCAGCTTCCCGGCTCCATGTTCGCATGCGGCACTGCCGGTCAGAGGAAATCTCCCTGAGCCTTGCAGACACTGTTTACTGGCCGATCACGCAACGCACTGGGCCCTATCCTCTCCGGTCTTCAACCAGTGGTGGGGTTGCCCTGGAGAATGCAGAGAGCAGTGCTAACATTATCCCTCTCTACAGCAATAAATAAATGTATAGGGTGCTGTGGTGACTCTCATTCAGGGGCCATGATGTCCTGCACTCTCAGTCTGTCCTCAGTCTTCTGGGTTGAGTGACACTGGGCGTCATTAAACCCAGAAGACTGAGGACATCTTGTAGCGGAGAACAGGCACCGAGGGGGACATATAGGAGCCACAGATTTTTTTTCAACTTCCTGAAGAGTATTTAAGTATAAAATTATCCTGGACTTGTATTCTATTTTAACATTTTTGTTTAGGAACCCAAATCATCTTTGGAATTCAGATTACTCACCTGTGTTGATCTCTGGAGGAATTTCCACTCTAATCCTCACATGTTCTTCTTCCTCCTCCTCAGATTTGACGTCTCTCTGAGTGTCTCCGGGGTCTGCAAATAAAGATGAGAGTGAAGCCCCCTGTACTGAGATGTATGAGAGACCCCAGAGAGTGTGTGTGGGGGGAGACTGGTCACGTCTCTTGGCTGGTAACACACAATGACATGATGTGAGGAGGAGAACCGGAGTCTAATAGAGGCTGATGGCTCCTGACTCCCCCCACTAGACATATTCCGTCCCCCCATTACTGTCTACTGACAGAGGAGGGGGGAGAAGAAGAGATTGTTGTAGTGACTGAACAAGGAGAATCTGGGACTCTTTTCTGGATTTAGTGTTTATTCCTCACCTGTGCTCATCTCTGGAGGGATTTCCTCCGTATGTGGACCATCATCCCCTCCATGTTCAAATTCAAGCAAATCTTCACTCTAAAATGATATTATATTATCAGTTTTTCATTTTAAATGAATAAAATACAGAAGATCTTTAGTCCCAGCTACCTGATAATCCTGAGGGATCTCCTTATGTTCCCGTGTGGAATCCCGGAAATACAGAGGACGGGTCTGAGGGATCTCATGATGTTCCTGTGTGGAATCTCGGGAATACAGAGGACGGGTCTGAAGGATCTAGCTCACCTCTCCCGTCAGAAGCTCAATCATCTCGCTGGTGACTTCTTCAACCTTCTTGGTCTTTCTCAGGGAGGGAGATGGAGGATCTATAACGGGGTTTTGGGTCTTCATCATGTTGGAAGCAACCAAGCCATCAGATAACTTGAAAGCGATATAATTCTATATTAAAAGCCAAAACACAACTTATGTCACCATCCAAAGTAGATTAAACTTCCTCGATTCATCAACATAATTCTCATTACAATAAGTTTCACCTCTCCAGTCAGGTCTGTGTGTTATTAATAGAGATACGAGTGATGTCATGTGACCTCCCAGAATCCTCCTCACCTCTCCGGTCAGGTCTGTGTTTTATTAATAGAGATAAGAGTGATGTCATGTGACCTCCCAGAATCCTCCTCACCTCTCCGGTCAGGTCTGTGTTTTATTAATAGAGATAAGAGTGATGTCATGTGACCTCCCAGAATCCTCCTCACCTCTCCGGTCAGGTCTGTGTTTTATTAATAGAGATAAGAGTGATGTCATGTGACCTCCCAGAATCCTCCTCACCTCTCCGGTCAGCAGGTAGATGATCTCCAGGGTGAGGTTTAGTATCCTCTCAGTCATGTGACCGCGCTCCTTCTCCATCCTTGGCTGGGTAATCTATTTGGAGCTCTTTCTTGCAGGACGCGTTGCCCTCAGTTAAGTTGGGTTGGCTGTACCATGAAAAAAACTGAAGTGAGACCAAATATTGAATATGTGTGTAAAGATTAATATCAAGCAAAACAAATGGCAAACGCACTCATCAATTAGTTACCAGCTTTACAGCGCGGTGCACATGGAAGGGCTTTAAACAGTAATAGCAAAAAGTTTCCCAGCACGCTCACCAGTCAGCATGCAAAAAAACTTGTCTCACCGCTAAGGCTAAAAGCAGAGGTTTAGATACACGTCTTCTGCAGAAAATGTGAAAGTCGAACATCCGTGCCAAGCCACCTCTATATAGTGCGGTCCTAACTCTAACCTATGAGAGTCTCCATCTTGGAGCACATGGGGGCAGAAGATAAAATTGGGTGCAGGTTTGTCAGGAGGAAGGCCAACCTCCCTTAAAGGCACAGGTACGCACAAAGGATCCCGCACATCACAATGGCAGCTGGGACCCCCCCATGCGTCACTTTTTGGGGAACTTTTTGCTAGTAACCAGGGGATGCTAGACTGTCATTACACACTGAGAACCCGGCGGAGCTGCCATGATATCACGGCGGCTCCGCCAGGTTTTCAGTGTGTAATGACAGTTCAGCATCTCCTGGTTACCTAGTGACCAGGGGACGCTGAACTGTCATGAGAGCTTGTCGGAGCCGGCTTTGATGCTGGCTGGTGAGTGTGCTGGGAAACTTTTTGCTATTAAAGATTGTCTTCCCAATGTATTGGGCGGCTACAAGGACAGCAGGATCAGTCCGCAGCGTATATATGCCAAAAAGGCGCAGACTCTATTTATTATGCCCTTTAAACCGCATCCAATACTCAGAGCAATGAAGACACGTCCAATTTATGTGCATCCAAATGTTATTATTGCCAGTTCTAAAGTTGTAAGGTCTTTAGAGACCCCAAAACACCAGAGGTGACCAATTCCCCCAGTGCAGAGTCAGCTGACCCCTGACTGTGTTGTATAGAGGACATGTGACCTAGCCCACGTGATCACATGACCCACCACCCCACCAGGGACCCCCTTCTCCCATAATAAGAAGACATTTTTCATACTTACTGAACACACACTCTCCAGCTCATCAGGGAAGTTTATTTAACATGAAAACTCCTCCTTTATCCTCCTTTGGACTACAACAAAATGGCTGCCTCCTTCAATTATCACAACCATGCCGGTAAAAGACAAATTTGAAACCTTAACGTGGCTGCTCGTCAGAAACAAGTTATTTTGGAGAAAGGGGAAACACTAATTTACCAATCTGGAGCAAGCAAGAAACAAATTAAGGTTAATTCAAGCTACAAGAAAATGGCCACCACTGGAGACACTTCCTCCTCTCACACAGCAGACAGCCGCCCTCTAGTGGTGGCATTGGATGAGAGTGACCAGAAGGGTTTTATAGGCGGGTTTAAATGGCTCAGTGACTGTCAATGTCTGGCTTGTAGATGATTAGAACAAGCTTTATTGCCGGGACCAAATATATTTTAGCATTGCCAAAGGTTAGAACTTCTCAGGCAGGGGGGCGGGGGGTCATATACAGGTACAGGATATTGATAAGAAATGTTTTATGTGTAATGCTGGCCACAGACCTTACAACCATGGTTGTAAGCTAATTAAAAGCTCGTACGATCTGCCCATCTTGGACAGGCAGATCGTACTTGCGGGGGGCGGGCTTCCGAAGACCGCAATGCTGAACGGGCAGTGTGCGCTTGTGCACACCCGCCCGTGCGGCATTTATCTTACGAACGTGCCACACACCCGCCAAAAATCGTACGATTCTCGGCGGGTATTGAACATGCTTGTAAGACAAAAGACGTGCAACCGTACAGTTTGCCACGCACCTTGCGATAATCATAGGATCGTGGGATTTCCCGCGATTATCGCAAGGTGTGTGGGCACCTTCAGGGATGATATAGTGCGGAAATCAACCAAGAAGAGGCGGGATAAGTTGTGTTGGAAAGTCCTCTGTGCCTCTCCCACTCTTAAGCAGGCCACTAATCGTACGATTCCCGGCGGGGTTTCTAGCCTGCTGGTTCGACGGCAGACGTGCGACCGTACAGTAGAAACGGTTGCACGCCTTCCATACACTGTACGATCGCGGGATTTCCCGCGATTCTCGTAGGAGAATCGTACAGTGTATGGGCACTTTTGCTGCTCCCTTTGTACTACACCACTTCTTTGTCTCCAGCACTTCATCTCTCCTTCCACTGCTGGAAACTTATCACAGGGATGGTGGGAACCCCTCATAATGGGCACAGCAGGTGTACAGACCCGGGAACTCAGCACAGGGATGATGAGAACCCCTCATAATGGGCACAGCAGGTGTACAGACCCGGGAACTCAGCACAGGGATGGTGGGAGCCCCTCATAATGGGCACAGCAGGTGTACAGACCCGGGAACTCAGCACAGGGATGATGGGAGACCCTCATAATGGGCACAGCAGGTGTACAGACCCGGGAACTCAGCACAGGGATGGTGGGAGCCCCTCATAACGGGCACAGCGGGTGTACAGAAATGGGAGTGCAGGGATGGTGGGAGCCGCATACTACTTTGACTTCTTTTGTTTTTGGGTTTCGATATATGCTTTAGCAGACCAAAAAAGAGTCATTGAGTATATACCCTTTAAAGAAGAGTTGGCTGTCCAGCACTGCGAGGGTTAACTGCTCATTTTGGTCTAGGGGCTGTAATGTACTCACCTGCTCCTCGGTCCTGTGGCGATCCCCGCTCATCTCTATCACTCTGGCTGTGGAATGTCCCTCGGCATCCTAACGACCCATGCAAGTCCATGGACCTGCATTACATGTGATGACGTCACAGGGTCCTTAGTGCTTGGGAGCCCGGGGGAGAAGAAGCTGTGGGGGCTGGTCTAACAGCCAGTCGGGAGCGAGGATCAGTCCCACGGTATATTTTCTTTATTTGCTACCCTAGACCAGGGGTCAGCAACCATGAACACTCAAAGAGCCATTTGGACCTGTTTCCCCCAGAAAAGAAAACACCGGGAGCCACAAAACCCTTTTGACATCTAAAATGAAGATAACACTCCATATATCATGTTTTACCTATATGCTATGTATAGCATGTATATAGGTATACTGTATGTGGGCTTAGTAATGCACTGGACTCACCTGCCAAGCCTCGCAATGCAGGGGGCGGGGCATGTGACACACACTTCTCCTCTCCCACCACCTGTTACTAGGGACGCGGCCGGAAGAGGAGGTGAGTCACAAGACCTGCCCCCTTACTGAGAAGCCCGTCGGCAGTGCGGAGACCCTGCACTGCCGCATATTCCACCAGGGGGGTGCCCAGGACCGGACCTCACTGGGCCCCACAGCCTCAGGCAGTAGTTCCGCCCCTGGACAGGGAGCAGCAGCAGAGGGATGAAAGAGCCACATGCGGCTCCGGAGCCGCAGGTTGCTGACCCCTGCCCTAGACCAAAATGAGCAGTTAACCGTTGCACTGGAGTGGTAGCCCCACTGTAAGGGTGAGTCTTTTTAAGCTCCTGGAATTCTTCTTTAAGGACCAGACCAAGAACAGCATAAAATGATAACAAAACGGACACACTGTAATGATTCCAAAAGTAATGCTTTAGTATTCAGAGGTCTTTAACCAATGAGGACAAGCGGGAGTTATCAATAAGACTACAAATCCTGGAATTTGTATACTACAGATGGTGGTGAGAAGGAAAGCCAGCCTTGGAGGACTTTCTCTAGCATTATCAGAGTCTCCTCAGGAGCTGGGGACAGGTTTCATTTCCATGGAAGCCAAAACACTCAACTGGGCAGAAGCCAATTTTTGTCTTCTGTTTTTATGTTGCATGTCGGAGCGAACAATAGTTACTAGGTGCTGTATAGGTTCCCACAGATTGAGGTGCGGTTTGTTTCTGTAGATAGAGGTGTAGCTTCTTCCCATAGATTTAGGTGTAGCTTGACCCCATAGATGGAGGTGTAGCTTGACCCCATAGATGGAGGTGTAGCTTCTTCCCATAGATTGAGGTGTAGCTTCTTCCCAAAGGTTGAGATGTAGCTTCTTCCCAAAGGTTGAGGTGTAGCTTCTTCCCGTAGATTGAGGTGTAGCATCTTACTATAGATTGAGGTGTAGCATCTTCCCATAGATTGAGGTGTAGCTTCTTCCTGTAGATTGAGGTGTAGCTTCTTCTCAAAGGTTGAGGTGTAGCTTCTTCCCATAGATTGAGGTGCAGCTTCTTCCCATAGATTGAGGTGTAGCTTCTTCTCGTAGATTGAGGTGTAGCTTGTCCCCGTAGATTGAGGTGTAGCTTCTTCCTGTAGATTGAGGTGTAGCTTCTTCTCAAAGGTTGAGGTGTAGCTTCTTCCCATAGATTGAGGTGTAGCTTCTTCCCATAGATTGAGGTGTAGCTTCTTCTCGTAGATTGAGGTGTAGCCTGTCCCCATAGATTGAGGTGTAGCTTCTTCTCAAAGGTTGAGGTGTAGCTTCTTCCCATAGATTGAGATGTAGCTTCTTCCCATAGAGTGAGATGTAGCTTCTTCCCATAGAGTGAGATGTAGCTTGTCCCCGTAAATTGAGGTGTAGCATCTTCCCATAGGTTGAGGTGTAGCTTCTTCCCAAAGGTTGAGGTGTAGCTTCTTCCCATAGACTGAGGTGTAGCTTCTTCCCATAGACTGAGGTGTAGCTTTTATGTAAGATTGTCGAATGTACAGCAGAAGCACATTTGCCAATGGGTGGATCCAACTCAGAAGGTGTTCTCCCATCTTTCCATCTACACACCCATCCCAATTCTCATTTAGTGTTTAGTACTTTAGTTTCAGTAAGAAAGAAAGACATCGGAGTGAACCTGCCGTAATGTTCAAAGTTCCACCAGACAACCTTTTCTTCTCTTTGGGAACTGAGCTGTGAAATGAGAGGTGACTTGACTTCCTTAGAACATGACCATCAGACCTTATTGACAAGCACCAACCTGGTCCTCTTAAGCCACATCGTTATATTTCAGTTACACTCATACCCCATACAGAACAAGAATATGGTTTCCATTTCATATCTGAGAAATGCTTCAACCTTGTGTGATACCTCCTGAGTTTTGTAAGGCTACACCACAGGTAGAGTAAAACCACCAACTGAAGTGGACTTGTCAGTAAAAATCATCTAGCTCCTAGATTGTAGCCCTCAGCCCCTGTTCAAGAGGAAATTTTTGCATGCTAAGGGATCCAAAAGCGGCTCCCCCTCCTCCGTATTATGTTATTATCACGTATAGCATGAAATAATTTCAGAGGAAAACATTTGTTGTGTCCTGAACATGATTCTCCCCCATATGAACCTTCCTGTGTTTGATAAGATTCGACTTCTGCGAGAAGCATTTCCCACACTTCGGACAGGAAAAGGGCTTCTCCCCTGAGTGGATCCGCTGGTGATTTGCGAGGGTCGACCTTTCGGCAAAACATTTACCGCAGTCGGGACATGCAAAGGGCTTCTCCCCTGTGTGGGTCTTCTGGTGGGAAATGAGGTTGTCCTTACGGGCAAAACATCGGCCGCATTCAGAGCAAGAAAACGGCTTCTGCCCTAAATGGGTTCTCAGGTGGTTGGCTAAGGTGGACCGTTCAGCAAAACTTTTTCCACATTCGGAACACGAATATGGCTTCTCACCCGTGTGTGTGCGCTGATGCGAAATAAGATGGTCTCTCCGGATGAAGCTTTTGCCGCATTCAGAACATGAGTAGGGCTTCTCTTGTGAATGAGTCTTTTGATGGTTGGCCAGAGTCGATTGTTCGGCAAAACATTTCCCGCATATGGAACAGGAATATGGCTTCTCCCCCAGGTGGGTGCTCTGATGTGAAAGAAGATGGTCTTTTAAAGTGGACCTTTCAGAAAAACATTCCCCGCATTCAGAACAGGAAAAAGTCTTAGTGTGAGTCTTCTGATGAAACAGAAGGTTTCCTTTCTGGGAGAAACACTTCCCACATTCAGAACAGGAATACGGCTTCACCCCTGTGTGGGTTCTCTGATGTGCGATGAGGTTATCCTTCCTGGCAAAGCAGCGGCCACATTCGGAACACGAGTAGGGTTTCTCCCCTAAGTGGGTTCGTTGGTGATTGGCAAGGGTCGACCTTTCTGCAAAACACTTCCCGCACTTAGAACACGAAAAAGGTTTCTCCCCTGTGTGAGTCCTCAGGTGTGAAATAAGATGGCCTCTCCGGATAAACCCTTTCCCGCAGTCGGAGCAGGAAAAGGGCTTCTCCTCTAAGTGGATCCTCTGATGGTTGGCCAGGGTCGACCTTTCCGCAAAACACTTCCCGCACTGGGGACAAGAATACGGCTTCTCGCCCGTGTGAGTCCTCTGATGCGAGAGAAGGTGTTCCCTTCGGATAAAGTGCCTTCCACAGTCGGGACAGGAATAGGGCTTCTCCCCAGAGTGACTTCTCTGATGTTTGGCGAGAGTTGTGGCTTCCACAAAACGTTTCCCGCATTGGGAGCATGAGAAAGGCCTCTCTACCTTATGAGTCTTTTGATGGAAGATAAGATTTCCTCTAAGGGAGAAACACTTGCCACAGTCCGGACAGCAATAAGGCTTCACAGCTGTGTGGGTCCTCTGATGTATAACAAGTTTAGTTCGGGATGTAAAACCTCGGCCACATTCCGCGCACAAGAACGGCTTTTCGCCAGTGTGAACTCTTTCATGCGTAATGAGATTGGACCTCTGCGAGAAACATTTCCCACACTTGGAACAGGAAAACGGCTTCTCTCCAGAGTGGATTCTTTGGTGGTTGGCCAAAGTCGCCCTTTCCGCAAAACATCTCCCACATTCGGGACAAGGGAAAGGCTTCTCCCCTGTGTGAGTCCTCTGATGTATGGCCATGTGGGCCCTCCATTTGAAACATTTGCCGCATTCCGAACAGGAAAACGGCTTCTCGACGGAGTGAGTCCTGGAGTGTCTAATGAATTGTGGTTTTTGAGAGAAGCATTTCCCACACTTAGAACATGAGTATGACTTCTTCTCTCCCTGACCTTCCTGGTGGAGGGAAAGTTCTTCTCTCTGGACAAAGAATTCTCCAGGCTCAAAACATGGGAACAACTCATCCCTTCTCTGAGGTGTGTTCAGAGTGGAGTTCTGTACAATAGACCCCTCATAGGCAAAGGGATGAGATGGTAGATCTTCACCGTGATGCACTAGATGGAGATTTCCAGTGTGGTCTTCTCTTGGACAATCTGCTGCAACGTCATCGCTATCTGTGTCGTCATTTGGACAGAAAACTGGACATTGTTCGAGGTTATTCCAGTCGAGAGGTCCATCTAGAAGAATTAATGAGGAGAATCTAAGCAAGCAGCCATTGAAATTGCTAAATGTAATTATTGAACTTAGACCTCCAATCACCCACCTCACAGTACTGAAGTCTCCGCCTCCTGAAACATCTCCAGGCATACGAAAGGACCCTTAGTGACCAGTGACGTCCATAGTACGTCACTGGCACCAGTTCAACAGACTCCCGGGCGGCTAAAGCCCCCTGGACACAGTTTACAATTGTAAAGCCGAATGCCGGCTTTACAATAGAAGTGATCTGGCGACTCCGCTGTCACCAGATCGCTCCCCCCCACACATGATATATTTTCTGAAAGCCGAGACCGTGTAGAATAAAATGGCGGCTGTATAAAAATTTTATGTTGTACGATATTAGCGCAACGTATTATCAAACCCCAAAATGTAGTGAGAAATGCCCCCCATGTGATAGCAGATGGGCAGTGACAGGTACTCTTTAAGCTGATGCTGGGGGTCCAAAAGACAGCTAGTTTCCACTAGAAATAAGCTATTGAAGTGCAGAAGCGCACATCAACAGCTTATAGCTGGGCTTCAGGAGCCGACCAATGACAGCTATGGGACAGGAAGTGATGTCATCTGCATCGCTCCCGCGTCCCATAGTACGGGAAGGAGATTGGCGAATGGAGGTTTCCCTCAGAAAATATATAATGTGTGTGAAGCCTCAGTCATGAAGGGGATAAGATGGTCAGATCCTCCAGCTTCCAAACTACAGCTTCTTCCTTCTACGGCACCTTCCCTACATCTTCATCCAACAGATTCTCCACCTTGCTTTTAAAGTCTTCCCTTTCCTTAGCTACTTCAAACGTCATAGGACATAGAGGTCTCATATCTGTGGAGATGTTTCCCTTGACCAGCAAGTTTTTTTCAACTTTTGCTACAGTGTGGAGTTGATCCAAACATGTACACTATATTGGCAAACGTATTGGGACACCTTTACACGCACATGAACTTTGATGGCATCCCAGTCTTAGTCTGTAGGGTTCAGTATTGGGTTGGCTCCGCCCTTTGCCACTATAATAGCTTCAACTCTTCTGGGAAGGCGTCCACAAGGTTTAGGAGTGTCTATGGGAATGTTGGACCATTTGTGAGGTCAGGTACTGAGGTTGGAGGAGAAGGCCGGGCTCGCAGTCTCCGCTCTAATTCATCCCAAAGGTGTTCTATGGGGTTGAGGTCAGGACTCTGTGCGGCCAGTCAAGTTCCTCCACCCCAAACTCCCCCCATCCATGTCTTTATGGACCTTGCTTTGTGCACTGGTGCGCAGTCATGTTGGAACAGAAAGGGGCCGTCCCCAAACTGTTCCCACAAAGTTGGGAGCATGAAATTGTCCAAAATGTCTTGGTGTGCTGATGCCTTAAGAGTTCCCTTCACTGGAACTAAGGGGCCAAGCCCAACCCCTGAAAAACAACCCCCCACCCCATACTTTACACTTGGCACAATGCAGTCAGGCAAGTACCGTAAAGTTTGGAGGTCTGTAGCTATTGACTCTGCAGACAGTTGGTGACTTCTGCGCCCTGTGCGCTTCAGCATGTGCTGACCCGGCTCTGTCATTTTACGTGGCCTACCACTTCCTGGCTGAGTTGCTGTTGTTCCCAGTTGCTTCCACTTTGTTATAATCCCAGTAACAGGTGACCGCGGAATATTTAGTAGCCAGGAAATGTCACGGATGGACTTATTGCACAGGTGACAACCTATCACGGTACCACGCTTGTAGTCACTGAGCTCCTGAGAGCGACCCATTCTCTCACAAATGTTTGTAGAAGCGTCTGCATGCCGAGGTGCCTCATCCTATACGCCGGGGGCCATGGAGGGGATTGGAACACCTGAATCCCATGATTTGGGAGGGGTGTCCCAATACTTTTGGCAATATAGTGTACTCTTCTTCAGAGTGAACCTTACTATCTCAAAAAGCCCATCAGAGCTCAAGAAAGACCCTACACGCCAAACAAGTGATTGCCACTCATCACCCGAAAATCTGTGCCATGCCCTCTCAACACAACCTCAAAAAGACTGGTATAAGTAGGTTGCTGGTTCTGATTGTGCCCCAGTCTGACATTTCTACTACCTTAAAATAAACCAGGCAATAGACCAGGATGAGGACCACTTCTACGCCTCTCAAGATCTACCACACGGGACTCATGAGCTATAAAGAAGCTTACTTTTCTAAAAACATATCTGACCCTTGTCCTCATGGTGGGAAAGCCTACACGGTGTTGTCAGTGGCATTTGTAAAAACATGGACCGATACTAAGAAACCTTTAAGGACTGTAGATCTCTGATTATGTCATCCAGGATGTTCAAGAAATACTGAAACAAATACACAATCTTTATTGGTGCCTCCATAGTGAAGACCAGGCTCCTATATTACACTTGTGCCTGTAATAGAACTCACCTATGCAGACCTCTATAGGAATTTCCTCCTCTTTAATCCTCAGGTGTATTTCTTCCTCCTCCTCAACTTTGATGTCTATCTGAGTGGTTCTGCGTTCTCCGGGGTCTGCAAATAAAGATGAGAGTGAAGCCCCCTGTACTGAGATGTATGAGAGACCCCAGAGAGTGTGTGTGGGGGAAGACTGGTCACGTCTCTTGGCTGGTAACACACAATGACATGATGTGAGGAGGAGAGCCGGAGTCTAATAGAGGCTGATGGATCCTGACTCCCCCCACTAGACATATTCCGTCCCCCCATTACTGTCTACTGATAGAGGAGGGGGGAGAAGAAGAGATTGTTGTAGCGACTGAACAAGGAGAATCTGGGACTCTTTTCTGGATTTAGTGTTTATTCCTCACCTGAGCCGATCTCCGGAGGGGTTTCCACTTCTTCCTTTCTCCATTGTTCATCAACCCTCATGTATGACTCTTCATTCTTACATGTATAAAACAACAGAATGTATTATCTTTTCAGTGTAAACATTATATAGTATAGTTAGAATTCTCAGTTTCATCTACCTGATCCTCCTGAGGGATCTCCTGATGTTCCTGTGTGGAATCCCGGGAATACAGAGGACGGGTCTGAGGGATCTCCTGATGTTCCTGTGTGGAATCCCGGGAATACAGAGGACGGGTCTGAGGGATCTCCTGATGTTCCTGTGTGGAATCCCGGGAATACAGAGGACGGGTCTGAGGGATCTCCTGATGTTCCTGTGTGGAATCCCGGGAATACAGAGGACGGGTCTGAGGGATCTCCTGATGTTCCTGTGTGGAATCCCGGGAATACAGAGGACGGGTCTGAGGGATCTCCTGATGTTCCTGTGTGGAATCCCGGGAATACAGAGGACGGGTCTGAGGGATCTCCTGATGTTCCTGTGTGGAATCCCGGGAATACAGAGGACGGGTCTGAGGGATCTCCTGATGTTCCTGTGTGGAATCCCGGGAATACAGAGGACGGGTCTGAGGGATCTCCTGATGTTCCTGTGTGGAATCCCGGGAATACAGAGGACGGGGCCATCTCTCTGGTGGGTTCCTCTTACTGGATCCATCTGTAGGAAACACACACACTGACTGAATACATTGTTTCTATGTCTTTATATCAGAGGATGTGTGTATCTAGGGGGATCCTCAATACTCAAGAAATGAAAGTCTCCTCTTACCCGGTGATGTGAGGGGCGGCCGGTTCTCCATCATGACGTCCTTGTAGAGATCCCGGTGTCCTTCTAGATACTCCCACTCCTCCATGGAGAAAGACACAGTACCATCCGGACATCTTATAGGAACCTGACACACACAATGATAAAGTCACCACCCAGACACATCCCTTGTCTGTTCCTGGATCATGTCCCAGAATCCCCGGCACCGCTCACCTCTCCCGTCAGCAGCTCAATGATCTCGCTGGTCACTTCCTGAACCTTCTTGTTAATTTTGCTTAGGGAGTGAGATGAAGGCTCTACATGGTGGCTTTGGATCTTCATCATGTTGGAAGCAACCAAGCTATCGGATAACTTGAAAGCGATATAATTCTATATATATGTATAAAGCAAAAAGACCAACTTATAACATTTAGGTCCATAATACTCCAAACATCAAAATAAGTATAATTTAACCACTTCCTGCTGACATGTACATGTGCATCAGTTCAGCTGGTGGGATTCTACACCAGCTGTATGCATATATACTTCCAGTGCACACCGACACCTCCCAGAATCCTCCTCACCTCTCCGGTCAGCTCTGTGTTTTATTAATAGAGATGAGATTGATGTCATGTGACCTCCCAGAATCCTCCTGACCTCTCCAGTCAGGTCTGTGTTTTATTAATAGAGATAAGAGTGATGTCATGTGACCTCCCAGAATCCTCCTCACCTCTCCGGTCAGCAGGTAGATAACCTCCAGGGTGAGGTTTAATATCCTCTCAGTCATGTGACCGCGCTCCTTCTCCATCCTTAGTCACGTGATCTTTTTAGTTTTTTTCTCTGTAAACTCTTCTGGCTTCGATTTAAGTGCTTGCACCATGAAGTGAACCTCTGCAATCAGAACAAATACAAAATAGTATATCCCCAGTCTCTGACCATCTCCTGTGGTGTGTCCCCAGTCTCTGACCATCTCCTGTGGTGTGTCCCCAGTCTCTGACCATCTCCTGTGGTGTGTCCCCAGTCTCTGCCCATCTCCTGTGGTGTGTCCTCAGTCT